GGTTAAGCTTAGGAAAGGTTTCCTAAAAGCATCGTACCCGCGTGACTCCTGCAGGAGTTTAAGAGCGGCTCAAGAAGATAAGAATGAAAAGCTACACGATGGATTTAATGGTTTAATGTTTTTCTGCACTAATCATGACCCGGCTCTGCAGGGGAAAGCGAAGCAACAGAAAACCACATTATTTATAGCACAAAGGGCTTCAACCAAAGAAATCCATCCAACCAGAAGAGGACTAACTGTGTAAAACCTCAGGTTCTGCAAACTAAACCTGCTCTGAAAGATCTTTTTTTCTAAATCAAAACATGTAACGGTCGTATAATTATGCTCCTTCTTCTGCGTTTGCTGTTGCTGCTTCACAATAAAAGACAGTTCAATAGAAAGCTTTTAATGTAAGGTTTGTCCTGAGGGTGGCGCTGTAGAGGAGAGATCATTAGAATCTAAAAGGTTCATCCTCTGGAGAGCAAATGATTTTAGTCTGTCTAGGTATGTTCATGTGTATGTGTAATATTTCTCCTTTAAAAATGAAAAATAATGAGGAAATTTCAATAAACTGTAACATACAAAAGGAAAAACAGATGATCTGTGCATGTCTCACTGTGCAGCAGTGTCTTGGACGGACAGATGGACACTCGCTGTGAACATTAGGACAGAGTTCAGGTGAAGTTCATCTGTGACTTTATGTAGGCCAGCTTACAGGGGAGAAGAGTTTTCCCGCCCGGGCTCGGTGCGTCGTGCACCTCTCCAGCCTCGCCCGTTACTCCCAGAACATCCACGCGTAACCTCGTAGATCAACACTAATGTAGAGAGCGGCCCTCAGAGAGGCAGAGGCGCCGCGGGGGGAGGACAGGGGGAGCAGGTTCAAAGCACACAACCTCAGAGAGAGATAATGCTGCGTTCGAGTCCGCTGGGAGTAACCGTCGGAAGAGTGTTTATGTCTGAACTCGTTTGATGCGTCAGACGGGAGGGTTCTCTCCGGTATTCCCAGCCTTTTCACACTGTGCTGAGCTGATCTCTCTCTGACCTGCAGACACTCATGTGTTTAACTCCGCCTGCGGTGTAGCTGCAATGCATTCTGGTCTCAGGTCTGCCTCGGGGAGGTAGACCAAAGTAACCAGTAAACGTGTTCGAGTCTGCCGCTACCAGAAAGCTGTATCGGGCTGGTTGAACCATCTGCGCAGTGGTGTAAGGACTGTTTACAAGGGCCCACAAGGGACAGCGGCAATTGCCGCGTTGATCGTGATCAGATGGCGTCATCCTCTCATTTGTACTGTGTTGACACAACGAGTTGCTTTTCTTGCTGGCTATCTGTTCTGTGGATTTCCACATACATCATGTCAGCTGCTGTGTGCTGGCGTGTTGCTGAGGCTACGTCCACACTGCTACGCTTTTGTTTTAAAACGGACTTTTTGCACGGACCGACCACGAGGTGGAACCGTTACCGGAAGGGAGTTCAAAGCTCAGCATTGTGTCTTTCTAACCAAAAGTGACTGACATGGCCATTTACATCACATTACATTATATTTACACATTTAGCTGACGCTCTGATCCAAAGTGTCTTTCTCGGGGACACATTGGTGGACATGTCACAGTGGGAATCGAACCGAGGCACGAGTCTTAAGCCTGATTTATAGCGTCCACTGTGTTGACTTCTGGTTTAGCTCTCCGCTAACTTTAATGGGGTAAAATTATAATCGTGCTGCTCTTCGAGACTTTTCAAATGTTATCGGACCGAATGGATCAAACTCTGAAACAAGTCATTTCTTTTGGGTTGTGATGCTCAAACAAACCGAAGTATAATTCAGGCTTTATCCAGTGCGGCTCTCCCATGTCCAGGTTCTGGAGCTGTGTTCCTGTTTAAAAGAGGATTTCTCTCAGTTCTGCTGCTTGTTTCTCTTCCTTCAATCTCACGTCCCTCCATCGTTTTATACCTCTTTCTTTTTCTCCCTCCGTCTGTCTCTGGTGATAAACTGTTTCCTCTGCTTGTCTGCAGGTGCGGTTTGATTTAGAGGAGGAGCAGGTGGTGAAAGAGAGGTGGGATTTAATGCTCCTCTCTTCCTCCTCCTGCTCTCACGTAGAGTAGAAAGACAAGACAAAGACAGATAGAGAGAAAAGGAGAGACATGGGGGAGAAAGTGGTAACCAGAGAGCAGGAGAGAGGGAAAGGAGGAGAGGGTGAGTCATTTCTTAAACATAACGAGGTAACGAGAGAACAGATGTGCAGCTGCAGACACGTTTTACTGCTCCAGGAGAGGAGGAGGAGGATACATGAGAGGAGACGAGACGAGAGGAGGAAAGATGAAGAGGGGATGCAGAAATGGAAATGAGGAGATGAGAAGAGGGAGTAAGAGGAGGAAACAAGGAAAGGAAAGTAAAAGAAGTAGAGGAGATGATAAGAAAAGAGGACAGGAGAGGAGACGAGAAAAGGAAGAGAGGATAGGAAACAAAGAGAGGAGATAAGAGGACAAAGGGACAGGTGAGGAGAGGATACGAGGAGTAAAAGATGAGAGGAGGAAAGGACATGAGGGAAGGAGAAGAAGGGAAAAGACGAAAAAACAAAGAAGAGTAGAGGAGGTGAAAGCAGGAAGAGCACATGTGTTGGATGGAGGAGGAGGAGAGACGGGGGTGAAGGTGAGAGGTTGGGAGCTGTCACTCAAAGAAGAAGAGGAAGAGGAAGTAATAGATTCTGTTTTTACAGCTTTAGCGGAGGACAGGAAGAAATAAACAGAAACAGGCTCGATGAATGAACGTTGCCGTACATGAAACATCAGCTGTGTGTGAAGCTCACAGCTAAAGGAGCTTCATTTTTACTTTCACCTCCAAAATCTTAAACTTTCACCAATGATTGAAAAACTGTCAGTGGAAACCGGACTTCCACCCAGGAGAGTTCATTTTCTGTGTGAAACAAAAAGTCGACATTGATTGTTTTTTGTGGAGTTGCAAAGGTTACTCAAGCTGCGTAAGCTCTGGTTTTTAACCCTAACCATGAGCCTTTTTCCCCCAAAGTGCCTAAAAATAACCAAATGAAATCTCCACTTTTATTGTTAAAGGAGGAGAAAGGATGCTCAAGTCAGAAGGTGCACACAGCTCAGGTGAAGGTTTTAATGGTTGTCTGAGATTATAACCTTCATGAGGGGAGGATTTAGGGCAGGACGGGTGGACCAGACCACGTTGGTCCGGTTCCACCAAAACCGTGACGCACTGTATGGACCACAGCAGGTTTAGTGTGGTCGTTTTGTGCCGACACTGTGATTGACCCAACTGGATTTAAATAGAAATAAACCCTAACCAGCGGATCCGAAACCTTTTCTGTTCAACATCTGAAGGTTCAGGGTGTCTTTGGTTGAATTCAAACTTTCCCTCCACACGTCTGTCCTGAGCCGACCCTCAGCTCTGTGCAGAAATATAGGCTCAGTCCATCTCGGGGGGTGCAGGTGATCCAGGGACAGAGAGAAATGTTTTCAGGCTCGCTCGCCCACTGAACCAATCAGATTGATGCATTTCTAGGTTGAGTTCCTCTAAAGTTTAACGGGGGCAGAAGATAAAACGTTACGGCAGAAAAACACAGAAACATTGACCTGAGCCGACCTCCAAACATCAAACATCAAACCAGGAGGAGATGAAAAGAAATTAATCGATTGATTGATGAAGAGCAGCAGAAGGATGAGACCGAGCGAGGATGGAGAGAAAGGAGAGGAGGCAACACTTAGACAGTGAGTTCTGTTGGTTTTAAATGATCTACAATCAATATTATACCTTAAAGATGGACTGAGTTGCTTTCATGCTGCAAAGACAGAAAATAAATATATTTAGAAGTATAATTAATAAATATAATACAATCATGTAATAAGAATGAAAAATAAAAATGTAAAACTTTTAAATAAATTAATAAAATAAGTATACAAATATAATACAATAAAATATTAAAACATACAACTGACATTAGCAATACTATCAAAATAAAATATTACATTTAATAAATTAAAATAAAGTTAAAAATGTAACAAGTAAAATGAATAATACATCTAATTTATGTATAAGGAATTAAAAGGTGCCATTACATAAATACATTTTAAAAAAGTAATGAATTAAACAATAATTATAATTAATAACTATGAAACTAAAACTACAAAATATTAAAATAATCCATTAAACATTTGTATATTAAACATTTAAAAATATGGAAAATATAAAACGCTAATCTAAATGCAAAAAACGTATACCAACCATTAAGATCACCCCCCCCCCTTCTTTCCCTCCCTGTGCAGACCTGGTCTCTGTTTCTGATTCAGGTCCCGGTGACCTTGCTGAGGACACGCCGCCTGTGTTCGCCCGTCACAGAGACTCTGCAATCAGCTCCACATTTACATTCAGACGGCCGCGCCTCCGCTCGGCCCGCTGGAATGTAAATTTACCCAGAGGTCAGCTGGGGACTCGTGCGGACTGAAGAGGGAGGAGGAGGGTGACATCGCAGCCTCACACCTGACCTCACACCTGACCTCACATGACATTTACCAGCCGGTCTGAAACCACCAGGAATTCATCAGAGAAGAGGTCACGGAGTAAAACCGCAGCTTTGCAGCCTGGTTTAAGTGAAATGTACACGATAATCTCATCGAGTGTGAAAAAGTGAAAGATGTCTGTTGGTGCCGGAGTGAGACATCTCAACAACAGACTGATATAAACTCATTCAGGGGCCCCATAATCCCAGAACAGGGGGCCTCCTGACCTTTCCTCCTGCACTGGGAGAAGGAACAGCAACATTTCTTATGCAAGAAACAACCAATCATCTCGTCCATTTCACGTCATCCAGGTATCCGTACATCATCTCCTATATTTGATTAATTGATTCATTAATGGCACCACAATAAGGTCAAAGCTGCGACTTGAATATCCTGTTAGAAATATGTAAATCTGACAGCTCGTAGCTGATGGGAATGTTCTCATGCTCCTCAGAGGAGTCCGTCTGTAGTTTAATTTTCCTTCCGATCTTTAAAAAGCTCTGATAATACGAAGCTCACAGACTCTTCTGGCCTGAGTATGTTTTCTTATTAGTTTTCCTGACAGGGATCTTCATCATCTGGAGTCTCACACAAAGTGTTAAAGGCCACAGATCCCCTGAACTTCTGTCTGCTGCTGCTCTCTGGAGGTGTTGCTGCCGCGGCCTCACGGCGAACTGGTGGTAAAAACTCTGGCGGTCATCTAAGGTCGCACGCTCGCCATCGAAAAAAAAAGAAAAAAAGAGCAGCTCATTGAGATTCAGAGGAGAGAGGCTGGACGTGACTCCTCTGTGCGCTCTGACCCTCTGCAGAGGAAGACTGCAGATCCTCCTTTGTTTCCAGAGGGAGTAATGACTCACTCACGTTCCCCGCCGGCGGCTGGTTGCTCTCTCAGAAGTCGTTCTGTGCAGCTTCGGGTTCACTGACTTTATTGCAGTGTGGTTTGGCTCTGAGTGGGATCAAAGTGTGATCTGGAGGAGTACGGAGGCCTTTTCACTTCAGTGTTGCTGCTTTCCATTAACACGCTGTTTCAACTGGGACCTGAGCAGCGCATCGCTGTCCCCTGTAAATATCAGGATTTATTCATGCGTGTAGGAGTAACATAATGATTAGTTGATTCCTCCTGTGCAGATTTAGATTAGTGAGTCATTAATGTAAAACGTGTTACATCTCAAAACTACAAGTCCTTGGTTTTTGAATCTGCCTCTGTTTTCTGTGTACCTGCACACCACTGTCCTATTCACCAGTGTCAACGTGAATTGAGCCCGTCGCCTTGAAGTTCTGCTCCGGACATGTCTCGAAGACTTGAAAAATGATATATTGATGCTGTTCCACTGATCAACAGGTGGCGGTGACGCAGCACGAAACGCAGCAATACGCCAACAAAGGCAGTGAAGAAGAAGAAGACCGTCAGCTGGTAAACATGGATGTAAATAATCCAGGTTTAAAAAAAAAAAAAAGAAAAAATGACTTTCACAAAACACACAGCGAGGTTTGGACATCACGCTGAATATTAACAGAAACTTTGTTAGTTTACTAGAAAGGTCCACAGAGCACCTTCAAAGGCACTGAGACCTACAGTGAGTCCACCCCCCACATCTTTGTAAATGTGACGACACTGAAGACATGACTCTTAGCTCCAGTGTAAAGCAGTGAGCGTGCAGCTTGTATAACAGTGTAAAGTAGTGAGCGTGCAGCTTGTATAACAGTGTAAAGTAGCGAGCGTGCAGCTTGTAGAACAGTGTAAAGTAGTGAGCGTGCAGCTTGTATAACAGTGTAAAGTAGTGAGCGTGCAGCTTGTGTAACAGTGTAAATCTGCTGTCCCCTCAAAATAACACATGACACAGCCGTTAATGTCTAAACCGCTGGCAACAAAAGTGAGGACAGTCCCTTCAGTGGAAACCTGTGAACTTTATGCCCAAGAGGGTTCAGGCAGTGCCGGAAAATAATGGTGGCCACACAAAATATTAACACGAGTTTAGACATTAACGGCTGTGTGATGTGTTATTTTGAGGGGACAGCAGATTTACACTGTTACACAAGCTGCACGCTCACTACTTTACACTGTTATACAAGCTGCACGCTCACTACTTTACACTGGAGCTAAGAGTCATTTCTTCAGTGTAGATAAAATCAGATATTTACAAAGATGTGAGGGGTGGACTCACTTTTGAGAGATACTGTAACAAATGAGCAGGTTTGAGATTAACGTAGTTGTAGATTAATTTTACCACCTTCCAGCCAATCACAAACCAGTCCTCTCTGAGCCGTTAATCTCACTCTGGTCACTCTGTCAGGTGCGTTTCTTTTCTTTCCCACAGTGACACCTGTGCAGAGGCGTACCTGTGTGACCTGAGCAGATGCGACCCCGCCCGCCCCCGCAAACCTTCATTAAAGCTGATGAACCGTGGACCGGGCGGGTGGCGGCTTCAGCCTCCACGGGGTCACATCAGGACACACACTCACTTGAAGTGGCTGGAGGTGTTTCATTTCATTTCTCATTCAGGGGCTGAGGGAGGCTGCTCTGTTCTGCATGAGAGACATTTACATTTAACACAGCTATTCGACCTACATACGCTCCTGGAGAGAGAAAGAGGACGGGGTGAATGTGAAAAAGAAGAGATGGGGAGAGGTGTTGAAAGAAAAGAGAGAGAGTGTCTCGCTGAATTTGAATATGAAAGCATCCGTTTTTCTACAGTGCAGCCTGAAGGTGCGGCACTAACAGGATGACACGTCAGTTCAAACCATGAACTGAAAGGAACTCCAGCAGCATCTCGCTCTCTCACTCTTTAGATATGTGATAAGAAGCATAAATATTTCCTCAGATTTTCTGGGATAACGGTTTTTAATTTTGCAAAGACACCCTGACCTGATTTCTCCCGTCGTGCATCCTGAAACTCAGGCAGGAAAAAGTCAACAGGCGGTTTCATCTGGCCGACCACTGACTCTGTTAATCCGCAGCCAGGAGTCTGTGCAGGGTTTAAAGCTAGACTAAAGCTTTGATATGGCTTTACATCACACTCTTTGAAAAGTGATTGTAAATATGTGACAGCTGCAGGTTTAACTTTGAATAAAGATATTTGTGGTAAGAGTCATTAGTTTGTTATGGGCCAAATAATTCCACTGAATATGTCGCTGGTTTAAACTACTGATCGTAAGCCAACAAACCGCCCAGAGGTGACGGCCCTTTAAGCCATGTTTCCATGTTCTCCATCCTCTCCATCACTCTGTTTCTTCAGTCCAGCCTGAGCAGGACAACACACTCATCTACCTACTTCTAATCCCATCGGCTCGTCTGTAAACTCGGCTCCTCTCTGCCTGATGGAGGACGGAGGTGTAAGGCTTTAAAAGTCAAACTGCAGGTGCGTTCGTTTCATCTACATAATGTACTGCAGCTTCTCATGACGGTGGGAGGAAGCATGTGGAAATGAGCTGCCTCATTTACATTCTGCACCGCTGGAAAAGCTACTGGACCTCTTCTGATGAGGTGCTTTTGAAACAGGTGAACAGCCGGTACAGGAGTGGGATGTTTTGCTGGCTGCAATGGTCCCAGTTTGAAAGTGATCGTGTGCTTGTTAGAGCCTGTTAGGTCAGACAGCAGCAGTTCAGTGACTGGACTGTCACATTGAGTGTATGTAACTGTGCATTCAGATCAAATGCAAATTTAATCCACGCAACGTTTTCTTCACGGGGGGTTCATCGCTGGACTACTGCGAATAAACGCAGCCCACCATTACTACAGCTCTATGAACCGAAAAGGAAACATTCTGCTGTGATTAAATAGAAATAAACGGATCAAACTGATGCCGAAATAACTACAATATGATGCAGATTTGTTAAACATATGAATTCATGCTTTGTCAGGTCTGTCAGCAGGACGACAACTTCTAAACCGTTTGTTTTCTGAATGGAGTTGGGATCGATCAGGGCTATGCTACGCTAACCTGCTCACAGTAAAGTACAACGACAGCTGGAATAAAGTTACAGACACACATTTTCTGAACTCACCAGGTAATTCAACCTCCTCGCTTTTTTATATAAATATGAAGTAGTAAGGGCGGTGCGGTGGTGCAGTGGTTAGCACTGTTGCCTCACAGCAAGAAGATCGTGGGTTCGAACCTCGGTCGTTCCCGGCCTTTCTGTGTGGAGTTTGCATGTTGTCTGCGTGAGTTCTCTCCGGTGCTCCGGCTTCCTCCCACCATCCAAAGACATGCGGCCGAGGTTAATTGGTGGCTCTAAATTGTCCTTAGGTGTGAGTGGTTGTTTGTCTATGTGTGGCCCTGTGATGGACTGGCTGTCCAGAAGCAGCTTTATTGCCAAGTAGTGTTTTACACAATCGAGGAATTTGCTGTGGTGATGAGGTGCTACACGCAGACAGCTGACATAAATAGATGTAGAAATATATAAATATGAAATAGAAGAACAACGTGCAGATATACATGTGCATTATTCTGGGTCTGTGCCGTGCAGAAGTAACTCAATGGAAGAGAATATTGTGTACAAATATATAAACTGACAACATAAAAATATACAACAACAAAGATCAACAATCAACAACAAATATGTGCGACGTTCCAGGTCTGAGCCCGACACGAGATGAAACAGTATTTACATGTGCAGAGACATTTATATCATTTGCAAGGGGGGAGTGTCAGTGGGGGACCTGGACCTTGTTAATGAGGCTGCAGACGGGAAGAAACTGTTTTTGTAGCGAGAGGTTTTGGACTGCAGCCTCCTGCCAGAGGGGAGAGTCTGAAATGGTTTGTGTCCTGGGTAGGAGGAGTCAGCTGCAATCTGTCCTTACAGGTCCAGAAGAGAAGGAAGATTGTCATCCGCAAACTTCAGGAGCTTGACAGATGGTGACTGGAGGTGCAGCTGTTGGTGTTCAGGGAGAAGAGAAGGAGGAAAGAACGCAGCCATGAGGGGAACCAGTGCTGATGGAGTGAGAGACATGTTTTCCCAGCTTCATGTGCTGCTTCCTGTGCGTCAGGAAGTCTATGATCCACCTGCAGGTGGAGTCAGGCCGGGATGATGGTGTTGAAAGCAGAGCTGAAGTCCACAAACAGGATCCTGACAGAGTCCAGCCCAGCTGATTTGAGGGGTTTCTGCCTCCTGAAAAGACCGTTGACTTCCCTCTCTGTGATGGAGAGAGGAGGGGAGGGGGTGGCGCTGGCCAGCTTGAGGAGGAGGGAAGAAGTGGTGGACTGAGGCTGAAGCTGAGCGGAGGAGTCACGGGATGGTGTCCGATTGACTCTCAAAGCGGCAGTATAACTGGTTCAGCTCATTTACCAGGCGAGAATCATTGATGGAGTGGAGGACTTTGGGTTTATAGTTTGTGATCTGTCTGAACCCCCTCCAGACAGAAGTGGCGTCGTTTCAGAGAACTGGTTCTTTAGTCTCTCTGAGTACAGTCGTTTAGCTTCTCGCACCTCCATCCTAAACCTGTACACGTTAACGCCTCTTCCTTTTTCAACCTAAGCTGTCTGAGTTTAGCTGTGAACCAGGGTTTGTCATTGTTATAACTCACCCTGGTCCGTGTTGGAATGCAGCCGTCCTCAAGAAGCTGATGTAGGACGTCACAGCATCAGTAAACTCATCCAGGGTGTAACCCGCCTTTCGCCCCGATGTCAGCTGGGATTGGCTCCAGCCTGTACGCAGGATAAGCGTTGAAGATGGATGGATGAAGTAGTAGTCCAACAGAGCTCTGACAACAGTGGAACCGGGTGTGCCCGGACGCTAGCTCGAGTGAAGATAAATCAACGTTGTAATTCCAAAAACTAAAGTAAAAAGCTAATTTAGTAAAAGCAGTTTACTCTGAGCTCCTCCCATGAGCAAACAGCGTAGCTGTCAGAGCAGAATCTGGTCCGACTACGGGTGTTTATTTGTCCAAAAGCTGCAGCGCTGCTCCGGCTTTGTCTTCGGCTTTTCCCCGCTGGCCAGCGGCGTTTCACTGCCCCGCTCTGCCAAAGACAGTTGAGTAGTGGTGGGAGGTGCCAGCATGTTATTTGTACATTTTATACACTGATGTTGATGTAAGTGGGTTTATGGTTGTTAACATCATTAATTTTATATTTTCTGTCGATAGTCATAGCCCACTGCCGTATTTTTACTGTATTTCTCTGTATTTTATTTTATTTCCTCTTCCTCTGTTAACATTTTTGGGTATTTGAGCTGCTTGCTAGAAAGACTCAGTAGCATACCAATCTGTAAACTGACCTGTAACGTTACATGTGGTCAGAATAAAGCTGGAGCTACAAGAACCCCTGAAGTAATTGTGTCCTGCGTGGCATCTAATCCACGGGCTACATGTGTTTCATCAGACTCTTATACGCAGAGTTTCTTGTGTTCAGACATTTCCCAGACGCTGCTGTAAAAACGTGCTTGTCTAACCTTTGGCTGAGCGTTTCAGAGTTTATTAGACCTCATACACAGCAGAAGAGCTTACCAACATGGAAACATTTCATTAAAACCTGAACCTGAAAAGCAGCACAAACACTGGTTACAGTGTTCCAGTTAAAAGCAGCCATGTGTGATTCCTACGCTGATCCGTGGGCTCTCTAACCCGTGACGTCACGCGGACACAGAAACTTTGAGCTCCTCCACCGAGCGTGAAATGGAGACTGACTTTGTGGACTCATAAAATGTTTGAGGTTTTAAATCCAATTCTGCCGTTTCCGCTGTGGCCACGCTCGCAGTTATGAAGCAGAAAATTTGCTCATATCCCTGGAAATCCCTGCTGCGCTGCATGTCTGCAGAGCCTCCCGCTGCATTCAGCCGCTCGCTTTCCTTGCAGAGCAGGCCGCTGCACACTTCAACACGTTCACACTGAGAGCCGAGCGGCACAAACACAACTGGTCTGCAGCCTGGGGGGCAGCAAAGTACAGAATCCCAAAAACTGTTGATGTGCTGTGATGTGGTTCAGACCTTCGTGTCCCCTCAGGATGAACTGGAAGAACTGTGGTGATCCTTTGACTTTTCATGTAGCGCCATCATCAGGTCAACATGTTAGTGAGTCCAACACTTTGCTTTGTGACCAAATACCTGAAGAACTCATCAGCCTCAGCTGTACGCTGTGTTTACAACCCGTTCTCACTCCCAAGACATCACATATGTAACGCACTGGGAGAAGCTCTGTAGCATAAGTTTTTAACCCTAAGGGTTACAGGTAAGTATAGGATGTTTAACAGAAAGTAAGGAGGTGGTTTAGGTGGACCGCTGGGCCAGAAATCAGGCTTTCAGTCAGGAGGCCGGTGTTTGTTCCCCGTGTGAAACACAAAGTCACATAACGCTGTTCCAAGTTCGTTTGGTGTCTAAACGTCACCAACTAGCGCCGTTTCACAACGTTAACTGCTAGTTTTATTTTTGAAAGCTTAACAGGACGTTGCGTACTTAGTACCGTGGAGCCCTACACTTCAAAAAAGACATTAAAGGGTCCCCAGGGTGTTAACAAGTGACACTAAGGGGTCTGACCAAGCGTCCGTATGTGATGGGTTGGGAGTGAGACTGTGTTGGTGTTAACTGCTTAGTAGCTAATGCTAACATGCTAATACACTAAACTCAGATGTGTCTTACATCTTAAACCTGTTGTTTATTTATAACATTCAGTTTTTAAAAACAATTTTATGTTTATTTGATCCATATTCTTCTCTTTATTTTATGGAATTCCACCATTTCACTTTCTTGTTTTTACTGTAAATTAAAGCAGGAGTAATATAATTATTGTACATCAGCTGATTGGCTAGTAACTTCCAATCGTATTCCTCCAGGCTTTATTCTGTGACAGTGCATCCTTGTGCACGTGTCTGACTGAACTAGCAGCAGCTCTCTCTCAGTCACGTTTGAGGTGTACAGTAGTAGTGAGAGGTGTGTGGTGCATTGTGGGAGAAACAGCCCTGGCGAGCTGGAAACTGTGAGGCTGTAAATCTGTGGTTAAACTCTCCCTGATGTTCCTGTGTTCCCCGCTCTTTGTGGTTAGAGTGTGGTTCTGGAAACACGTCCTGATTGTGTGGGTTCTGGTTCTGGATTGTTGATTAGCTTCATTAGTTTCCCGCTCACGCTCTCCCTCTCTGTGTTGTGGTTTTGGTCTGGCGGCCTC